CGTGGGATCCGTGGGGTGCTGAGACCTGTGTGGCCATGGCTGGTGCCACGGTGCTGTGTGGTGTGACTGGAGGGCGTGAGGGTCCCAATGGTCTGGAGGGATACAGAGGCACTTGCAGGCACAGAGGCAGCCAAAGGACATGGGTACCCCGAGGGGCAGGAGGAAGGCAACAAGCACATCCAGCCAGGAGCAGCATGTCCCCAGAGTCGGCAGGAGCTGGGGACAAGACAGGGGGTGCAGGGGGCCTGTTGCTGCCCCTGTGCTGGGTCTGGCTAGGGTGGCATCACCTCCTTCAGCTCCTCCGCAGCCTTGACAAGGCACAGGCGTTTGGGCTGCGGCTGCGCAGGGCTCGGCCAGCGTCAAGGCTCTCCCTTTCCCACTCTCCCCCACAGCGAGGGGGCCAGGCTGGGCAGGAGGCTGGGAGGGGACAGAGCCGGGAGAGCTGACCCCAGCGGCCAAAGGGACGCTCCATGACACAGCGTCGTCCTGGCATATCATCATGCTGAGCAACAAGAAAAGGGGGTTGTCTTCCTGTTGCTCAGAGACTGGCTGGACATCAGTCTACTTGTGGGAGGTGATGAGTGACTGCCTTTACAGCGCTGGGAGTTGTTTTATTTTTCCCCTTTCCTTCACAGGTTACAGTGTCTTTATCTCGACTCACGAGGATTTTTTTGACTTTTGCTCTTCCTCTTCTCTCCCTGTCCTGCTGCGGGGAGCAAGCAGCTGTGTGGGTGCTCAGCTGCTAGCTGGAGTCAGCCCACCACAGATCCCCCCGGGATCCCACGGGACGCCTTGGGCAGGCTCGTCCCCACGCTCACACCTCCCCCTCTGCACTGGGAGCTGCGGGAGGCTGTGTACGGGGGGGGGAAAGGGGCCCAGAGGCTGTCACAGAGGTGGGTGCAGCACGTGGTGCAGCGGGTGCAGCGGACGGAGCTGGCACGGGACCAACAGACACAAGCCCAAGTCCAGTACAGGAGGCCGCTCTCGGGGTGGGTTTCTGTTTGACTCCCTGGCAGGTCCACCAGGCTGGCAGGACACAGCTGGACACAGCCACAGGCACCATGCGGACAGTGCATGAGGTGCCACGGGGCCAGCACAAGGCCCTGCTGAGCGGGCAGAGCTGGCACCATGATTTGGCCAGCCAGCCCCACGAGCCCATGGCAGCGTCCAGATGGCACCAGGGCTGGCTGCCTGCGGAGGTGTCCTTGCAGGGAGGAGG